TCAGAGGGTGAAAAAAACATTTCCCACACAATTCTAATTATGGTCAGCCTTGCTGCATTGAATAACAAATGAATCCGAGAGTGACCATATAAAATGCCATTACTGTAATGCCTAACAGAAATTTAAAACTTTATAAAGCTCTTTTAAATATAGATATCATGTTCCAGGATGTTGAATGGTTTGCAATCACTGCTGTATCTCCTCATGAGATGTGAACAGCTTTACTTTCCTAATTATTATATGCATTATTTGTGCTTCCTGAATATGCTTTTCACTTTGTTTATGATGACTGATTATATCATTATTCAGGGGTGTAGGTTGTAGCCATGTTGGTCTAAGGACATAGGCAGACAAAGGTTCCTTGGGTGAATCTGATATCTTTTATTAGTCCAACCCAAATAGTTGGAAAATAATATTAAGCAAGCTTTCGGGTTCAAAAACCATTTTCTGGAAATGTAATATATAACCATTACATTTTCTGGAAATGTAATATATACTCATCCAATGCACCAAATGCCCTGATGGAAAATACGTAGGAGAGACCAAACAACAACTGTGCACCAGAATGAATGCACACTGGAAATCCATCAAAGACAGAAATACCCAGTTACCTGTGGGGGCACATTTCTCACAAGAAAACCACTCTCCCTCCAATCTCTCAGTGCTGATCCTCAAAGGAAACTTACAAAACACTTCCCAGAGATGAGCCTATGAACTCCACTTCATCAACCTCCTGGATACTAAAAATCATGGACTAAATATAGACATTGGATTTATGACACGTTATAACCTGCCTGACATCTGACTCTCCAGGTATCTCTCCGCTTTCATCCCCCTTCTCTCTTTCCCCCCCCCCCCCCCCCCTCTCTCACCCATTGACTCCTCAATCTACATTTTCACTGACTACCTGTCTTGTATGTATACCAGCCCAGCCGCTGGCTTCTTTACTTTTCATTCCATCCAGGAAGATCACATACCAACTGCTGAAACTTCCTTAGCCTGATGAAGGGTTTTTGAACCCGAAAGCTTGCTTAATATTATTTTCCAACTATTTGGGTTGGTCTAATAAAAGATATCAGATTCACCCAAGGAACCTTGTCTGCCTATATTGTTATTCAGAACTTTAGATAGACCAGCTTTCCAAACTGTTGATGCTGTTCCCAATGGTGCTTTTGAACGATTGTGGTCAATCGTAAGACAGGATGCATTGACACTATAAAACTTAGTTTTGGGTATAGTTACAGCAAGCAGGAGAAACACAGAGAAACATTCAGAGTTCTAGAAGACCACAAATGAGTCTGCCTTCCTATTTCAATATTGATAGTGTTAATTACATATTAAATAATAGGTTTCACTGTGGGAATGAATGAATATTCTAGGCAAGATTTTACGTAGCTTCTAACTGAAGCATATAATGACATTATGCCATACATCACATTCAGCTAAAGGACAGTAGACCAGTTTCACAGGAGGATTTGACAGGATTGGAAGGGGCTCTATGGGGGGAGGGGTGGGGGAGGGAAGCTTGGTGGGATATGGTGGGGCTCTCTCCCCATCTCCCAACCAAGGGCTATTTTTAGCCTCTCCAACCATTCCCACCCCTAAAAAAACCCAAAACAAACCTCCCCCTATAGTGAACCCAATTCTGCCTGATCCCACCTGTCTCTCCCTCCACTCGGACTTACTTCCATTGAGTCCTGGCACTGGCAAACACTGTAAAAACTGGCACTGGGAGCAGTTTGTAGGATTGGGGGATTTGGTGGGCTTGTGGAGGGTGGGAGCTGGCTGGTCTGTGGGGAGCATGTTGTTTGTCTAGGAGTGAGGCCAAGGCGGGGTAAAAATAGCCCGGTACAAGGTAGAGGGTCTGAAAAGCACAGCCCTAGGGCTGGATCCAGCAGCTGGGCTTTCTCAGCCCCTGGGCGGTTCTGGGAATGTGTATCCAGGTCCCAGTCTAATTTAATGCCCCTCTGAAGTACAATTAAATAAGATTGAATTGACTGTTTTTTAACTTATCTAACCTTCCTGGAATTTATGTACAGTTTGCACTTGGAGCGACCTAACTAGGGATCTAAGTGTAAGGTCTGCATGTGGGTGAACAAAGCTAGATTGGGTGGCCATTTTTAACAATCTAACCTCCCTCTAACGTCCCCAAATGTCTGTACATAACCTTAGCCTAAAGAATAGTAATTGGGGTAATTAACAGTAAGAAGAGGAGCTGTGTCTATGTGAGGACAGCACTTTCATAAGAATTAGCCAGGAATTAGAATAGTTGCTGCATGCAAGGAGATAAGATTGGCTACTGATAAATGTGGGGTAATGTACTGAGGGAGAAGGGATGGATTAATTTTATGTACGTAAGACTATTCTCAATTTAGGGTGACACCCTTTCTTAGTGAGAATCAGAACCCTGATTTAATTGCTTTTCTTGTGTTGCGGTTATTTTAATCTGACGTACATATTTTATGTTATATAATGTCAAGTTTTTTTGTTATATGTTGTGCCCCATTAAAATAACCAAACTGTTCCTTGAAGTTTGTTAGGGGTATGTAAAACAGAAAAAAATATAGGTAGATTAATCTTCGTAGCCTTTCGTGCACTGTACATAAGCATATATATATATATATATGGCTCTTGCAACCTTACAGTTTATTTTAATAATAATAATGTATCTAACATATGTACGTAACCATCAGTTTATCTTAATGACTGTATTACAACCTATTGTTATGTGTAAGGGCAATATTAAATGCACCCTGGATTGCTATGCCTTTTTATACTCAGTAGTTACTTTTTCAGTCAAGAGCGTCTGTATGAATGATGTAATCAAGGAGATTGGTATTCATATATATATGAATATATATAATCTTTAATTTATCTTGAAAATGTCAAGAATTTTTCAAGAACCTTCAGCATGAAGTGCAAGTGATGTGGATTACAGGCATTTCGCAACTCCTGGCTCTTGCCCAGAATACAATAAATAACGTGGCACGAATTCACTAGAATGCTGTGACTAAGGCAGACTTTGTCCTTACTTCAGAATAAAACAGAAGGAATCCTTGTTTTGATGTCACACTTAATAGCAAGCAAGGTTCTCTGGGTAGATGTGATAACTTATATTTAGACCAACTAAATAGTTGGAAAAAAGTTCTTTGCAAGCTTTTGGGCACAAACACTTTTTGTCAGGGCATGTCGAAACTGCTGGTGTTATGTCTCTCCTTATGCCTGACAAAGGGTGTTTGTGGTCGAAAGCTTACAGAGAACTTTTTTCAACTATTTAGTTCATCTAAGAAAAAAATGTCACATCTACCCAAAAAACCTTGGCTGCCTATGTCCTTAGACCAACACAGCTACAACCAACAAACCTGGAACACTTGATAGCAGAAATTAAGGCTGGTAGAATCCTCACAAATAACAGCTACGAGTTCAGTGAAGCCTGGAGATTCTTGAAGAATGGTGCTTATATTAGAACCAGGGTTAAGTTACAGTTTAATGGCTTGTCTTCTTTATTTGATGATCGGTCCTAGAAAAAAATATTTTGAAGTAATAAAGCATTTATTTGGCTCATAGCTGATAAGAAAAGCACTGCTCTTTGCATTAAATGTTATTCAGGAAGAGTCATAGGCAGATGCTAATAAGCCTTCATATAAAAAATGAAAAGGTAAGCAAGACTGAATGAAACAGAAAACAGAGAAAGGTCCTTTAATTTCATGTGCAGCTTGTACATTTGAAGAAAAAAAAAAAAAAGCCAAAAGGTCTGTCCATGTGACTCCTACTGTGCTGTAGTTTGGTTAGGTTGCTTGTCAGATATATTAAAGTGCAGTTTGGTTTAATGAAGAAGTGCATAGCACAAACCAGCGGTAAAAGATATTTGGCAGGGATTGGGTGAGTAAAAATTTACGTAAATAATTTATTTATAATATCTGAATAACATGATAGGATAGAAGTTCTACAGTGATAACATTGGTTATGGCAATTAACCATTTTTCTGTGGTTTTGGCTTCTATTTTACGTATGTAATTTGAAAGCATTGGCATTATGGATAATATAATATGTTCGTTATGAGTGAGGATTTTAGATTTAAAAAAAAATTGTTTTCTTACAAGGAAAAAATAACTTTTTTTTTTTTTTTGCATTTCTTTAAAATACCTTCATTGTTCTGAAAGTAACTGCAACATCTATTTTAGTGCAGTTCTCAAAATAATTTCAGTGGGAGTTAGTTTGTGGTGCCTTACTGTTATTTATAATTGTGTCTCCAGTACTCGGAGAAGAGGGGAAAACAGCCTTTTCTCTGCATCTCTAAGATTTAGCAATTTTCAGATTTCAAGCTAAATACAGCGTCAAGGATCTAAGTCCAGATCATTAAATGCGGCACGTCCTCAACCTGTTCCAAGAGTTGGACCACTGTAAGGGCATCATTACATAGGTTTTTTCTATTGTGTATGTGTTTTTATACAGCTTGTCTTTATGGTTTTATATTAACTCATAAATCATGTCTTTATTTTTTATTACAACAATTATGCAAATATGTCATCACCAGTGTGGGAGTGAGAAATGTGCAGAATGTTTTTGAATCTCAGGCTTTTGTTTATCAGCAGGATTTGTCTTCGTCTACGGCAGTTATAGACTTTGCAGTTGTTATAATGTTGTTATGAAAGATCTGAATTCTATTTAAAATAATAATTTCCAGAAAGACTTTTAGGAATTTCATAGCTTCCCATTTGAGATTTACAAATGCAGTATGTAAACAAAAATATGAAAAAGAAACATGAACAATGTATTTAAAGCAATATACTAAAGTCTGACACAAATATTAGGCATTGAAAAAGGAAAGTTAATTTTTTGCATTTTAAAAGCAGTAGTAGTAATCGAGATTTTTATTAACATATACTTACGATGTATGTTTCACTTGCATGAGCGAGAAAAGAAATTGGTTTGTCTGATGTTGCATTCTATAATGATTTCCTCTACCGAAAACCATTAAAATAAGAAATCCTTTTCAGATAATCACTCCATTTAGGAGGCTCATATTGTGTGCTGAGAACAGAAAAGAAATGGAGGACTGGATCAGCTCTCTGAAGTCTGTGCAATCTAGAGAACATTATGAGGTAAGATAATATCCCTTTCAGTTCATCTTTATTTCATGATAAATATTAACAGATCAAGCTACAGTACACAGAAGCAAAGCAACAGAGCTTTTAAACCTGAAAAACCTTTAAATTAAAATACAGCTTTGTGTCAGACTGTTATTTTACTGGTATAATTTGTCACTATGCTCTTTTTTGAGGTTTTGAGAAAGATAGCTAAAACTCCCCTTTGAAAATACTTCTCATGCACTTTTAAATTTCCACAGTACGTGTGGAACTCCTAAGTACTTTCAGTTGCTGTAGCTTTGTTCTGTACTTGCAAATTTGTCTTAACTTCTCCTTTACTAGACCGCACAGTTTAATGTGGAACATTTCTCAGGGATGCATAACTGGTACGCCTGCTCCCATGCCCGACCTACCTTCTGTAATGTGTGCAGAGAGAGCCTCTCTGGAGTTACTTCTCATGGCCTATCTTGTGAAGGTAAAATCACTTTTTTCTTCTCTCTAATGTCATGTAAGCTAATGAAGAACTAATAGTCTAAACTAGGTAATTATGCTATAAATACTTTGGAATAAGAGGAATTCTACTTACTACTGCAGAAAGGCATATTTTTCTTGGATAGAATGACTACTAACAGTGACGCACATTATTTGAACTCTCTATGTCTTATTTTAACTCCATTTCTGTATAAATGTTTCCTTCTGCTGCGAATACCATTTTTGAATACCCAAGCATTCTCTCTCCAAGAGAAGTCAGTACTTTGATTTGACTTAAAACTGAAGGAACAAAATATTATTTCCTCCGTATTGAGAATCAATATATTATTCCTTTTGGCACAAAAAAGCAGGGGCAGGGGGAAGCAAAATAAATATTAATAGTTTCCTACTGGCAAAAATCTGAAACTTCCCTTCTTGAATGGAATCATGACCAACCTCTTCCCTTCTAGTTTTTGTCTGATCACCAATTCTGTCATTTTCTTTCTGCTCATTGATATTGCAGTATACAATGGGAACACAACATGTGCTTCTTCACTGATCCTTTGATGTGGTTGTAATGGGAGAGGAATTTCTCTACCTCTTTCTTATGTAATTTGATAATTTAAGAGCCAATATCCAAAACAAACAAAAAAGATGATGCGTTTAAAAATGCAGCATTAAAACTGCACTGTATAAATTACCTTTTACAAGTAAATATTTCTTCTGTCTTCTAGGAAATAAAAAGTGTTATACATGACCTGATAGGATATGTAAAATGTATGCTGAACCTTTGGTGGTGTTTTCTCACCAAGGAGAAAAGTAGATTATATGAATAGTAGATATGTAAATACTTACGCATATGAGGGGTTTGACATTTAATTAAAAACAAACTGACTACCCAGCAAACTGTTGTAGTTATATAAAAATATAATTAAATAAATGCAGTAAATAGTTATTACAAAAAACATCTATTCAGAACTTGATTTTAAGTTACCTGTTATCTAACTGTGTGAGCTTCTGTTACCTTTCTTTGATATAATAGTGTTGAGTGTGTTGGTATGCTTGTATACCAAAGAAACTGTGCTATGGAGCCTCCTGTTCAACGTGTTTGGTACCTGGAGGCATTTAACTGCATATAACCAAGGAAGTAAAACCAATATGTATCCAGAAGTTAGATGTGAAATAGATGAGACAGACCTTGGCTGCTCTTAGGGGCGAATCCAGACACATGTGGCAGTGCACTTGCACCACCTTTCTGTTGCTGTCACCCGCTGGTCTGCATGCAGCTGGAGCCCCAAAACTGCTCCTGCCTTTCTGCTCACCTCTGGGTGTGGCTCTTCAGGGTGCCATACTCAGCCAGGGACAGTGGAAGTGGTGTGTTGTTCCTCCTATAGCCTGCTCCCTGCCATGTCCTTTGCTGGCTGGGAACAGGCACTGGAAGGAGGAACTTATGTGCTGCCACAACTGTCCTCAGCTCATGCAAGCACAGGTGGATACCCAGATCCACTTTTCCCTGTGTTGCAGGGCTGTAGGGAGATGGGCTCAGCTGGGGGATAGCAGCAGTAATACACAGGCTTCTCCTTTTGGTACTTGCCCTTGACCTTGAGGGGACACTGGGTGAGGGGAGAGAGGAAGCAGGGAGCTAGCAAGGGCTGGGAGGAGATAACTGTGCACCCCGTTGCTTCTGGGACCCCATGAAGCTGCTCCCCACAGGGCAGGAGTGGCTTTGGTGTCCGTGCTCCCCCCCAGCCTGCTCAGTCAGGGACAGCACCAGCACTGTCAAACATGGGGGATGACCCACTTCATGTGCCTGCTTCTGGCTCATCCCCAGTATCCCCTGCTAACCTGGGAGCTCCAGCCACACCCCTCTCCCTTCCCCACCATAGTCTGGGTGGGCAGAAATGCGTCTTCCCTTTACTAAATCCTAGCTTTGCCCAGGGCTGCTGTTGTTCATTTCCCTCACTTTTCAGTCACTTAAATGGCAGCTTTTAAAGTAAAATTTGAGGAGACACCATTATCTTATGCTGAACCAACTTAAAATATATTGCATCTACTCTGTTCTCTTCATAAAGTAAATCAGGTAATAGTAGCTCCACTTAAAATAATTTTTTTAGCAACTGCCATTCTTTGTAAATGTGTGTCCCTTGTTGCTCTGAATCTGTTGTCCTCTAACAGGACAGTGCCTTGTTTTGCTTCTGAATGTACATTTAATTTACTAGGGCAGGATGTCAAAATTTATGTGAAAGTAACTGTCAGGATTATGTTCTCTTCCCTAGTTGAAAACGAATTCTGCACTGTGCGCTTAAATTGGGTGGTGGCATAAAACATCAGAGCAGCTTTGTTTGCAAATGTAATGGATATTAGGACATGCCCACAATTTGGACTGGTTCATCAGTAGGTATTCAAATACCCTTGGCCTATTCTTAATTAATTTTTTCAGGATTATCTTTCTTGACTGATAATTGAAATATATGTTTTCCTTGGTTTCATTGAAGTATTTTAAAAACGTCTTTAGAAAGCAGTATCTGAATTGGATGTTGATTTATTTATTTTTCTCCTTTTTATGAATAGACTGAATCTTTTTTTAATAGTGCAGTACTCCCACTTTGTCCCCGTGTGTTATGTGCCCATTAAAGGCTGCAATCCCCTTTTAGTTTATTTGGCTAACAACCTCATTTTGTTTGCTTGCTGCTTGTACTCTTGTACATCCTCTGCAAGTATTACGTGACTCAGTTCTTGTTGCTCCTGTTTATATTTCCACTATGTTGTTTCAACTACCTGTTTCTTAATATCATGTCAGCACTATTTGCAACTTATATCAGAGCCTATGTCTTGATGCAGGTGTTGGAAGTTTTGTAGTGAAAGATAGATGAGAGGAGGCACAACAGTGGTCCTGCAGTTAAGCCAGATGAATGTGTGCGGGCCGGCTCCCGATCTCGGGGGTGAGCCGGGCCCGTCTTTGTGCACACAGGCTGTGGCCAGCAGCCCGGGCACGCGGGGCCGGAGAAAACCGCGGCGATATGGTACGCTCGAGCTAGAATCAGTCACGGAGGAACCAATTCTAGCTCTAGCGTGTCTTCTCCTCCCGATCCCATCCATGTGCAAGTTCTCTCCCGATCCCATCCTCGTCGCCATGTGCGAGTTCTCTCCCGATCCCATCCTCGTCGCCATGTGCAGGCCGGCTCCCGATCTCGGGGGCGAGCCGGGCCCGTCTTTGTGCACACAGGCTGTGGCCAGCAGTCCGGGCACACGGGGCCGGAGAAAACCGCGGCGATATGGTACGCTCGAGCTAGAATCAGTCACGGAGGAACCAATTCTAGCTCTAGCGTGTCTTCTCCTCCCGATCCCATCCATGTGCAAGTTCTCTCCCGATCCCATCCTCGTCGCCATGTGCGAGTTCTCTCCCGATCCCATCCTCGTCGCCATGTGCAGGCCGGCTCCCGATCTCGGGGGCGAGCCGGGCCCGTCTTTGTGCACACAGGCTGTGGCCAGCAGCCCGGGCACGCGGGGCCGGAGAAAACCGCGGCGTGGTATGGTACGCTCGAGCTAGAATCAGTCACGGAGGCGTAATGGTTGATTGAAAAGATTATTTACTTACACCCAAGGTGGTCGCGGTGTAGGCTGGTCAGCTTTCCAGGCACAGCTCCGCTTGAGTTCTCGGTGGAGGACTCTGATAGACTCGGTTCCTTGACCCCGGAGTGGTTTAAGCTCCGCGGGTTTAACAACTCTCTCTCACGGAGCAGTTGAATCTCCGTGGGTTTCACTCGGTTCCCAGGTCCCCCGGAGCTGTTAAGACTCCGTGGGTTCGACAATTGGGTCCATAGGATAGGGATACGTCTAGGATTGCGGTCGGCGACGGGGAGAGGCTAGAGGTTATGTGCCTTGGAGTTGTTAAGGCTCCGAGGGTTCGGAAATTAGGTCCCGCGGAGTTGTTGAAGCTCTGTGGGTTCGACAAATTAAACCTCTGTTGCCCTCTTAAGGAAAAAGCTGGGTTCGAAGGGATCAGCAGCGCTTAGAGATCCTCACGCTCCTTTCCCGAACTCCACGTGTTTTCTCTCTCTCCGACTTGGGCGGAAACTACCCAAGCCTTTTGTACGGCTAGCAAGCCAATAGCTAGCAACCACGTGTGCCTATATTAAGATTGGCCAATAATGTGGCGGAAATCTTAATACAAATGGCGGGAACTTCTTTGTACCGTGCATCACTATAATGCAAAAGAAATGCACGATGCAAAGAAGGCTACAAAACTGGCGGGAAAAACTCCTGCAAGCGGGGTCTTAATTGCAACAGAACACTCCACCGTGCAAAAGAGCTGCAATTTAGCGGGAACACAATTTAGCGATGCCGAAGCACACACAAACAAGAAAATCACAACTTTGGGTTGTGACAGAATGCTGCCCTGCATGTGCCAGAGTTCCTTTGAATTGCTGGGCAAGTTACTTAAACCCAAATTTCCATGGTGCCCATTAATTGCATGTTCCTGATTCCCTAGGTACTTTGTGGTCTGTTGTGCGTAAGTGCTGAATACACAAAATGGCAACTTGAGGTCAGCAGGATCTGATCAGTACTTGGAATATTCCGACTACTGCATAATACTAAGTGTTCTGATACTTGGCTGTGTATGTCCTGGGGAGCATGGAGCTGAGTACATGCTGTTCACCTGAGCCTGCTGACGTGCTTTAGAGTTAGAAGTTCACTTGTGAGACTTTTCCAGGTTCATTCCCAGCACCTGCTCTCTGGTTTTTTGTCTCTGAGAACTAGTGCTTGGAGGATGAGCCTAAAACCAGCTTAATTGGTAAACTTCAGCTTTGGAGTGTATCAGCAGGCCCTGTTGGATGGGGCCCTATCCTCCCTGAGACCCACTGTCATCACTGTATATGCAAACCTTGAAAGATCAGGTCCAAGTTGGCCTCAGTTTAGGGGCCTAAATTTTCATAGATGTGTTTACCTCAAGTTTGTCTCATCCCAGTTTTATAGAGGGGGGGGTGGGGAGAGATGGTACAGAGGGAAGATATAGCCTCATTTCATAGGGGCATTGTGAAAATAACTTCATTAAAGTTTGTGAAGCACTCAGAAAATGGAATGATGAGTCCCATAGAACAGCTCCCAGGAAGAAATGAATAATTTAGAGAAAAGTTTGAATGGTATCCATTATATAAGGCATGTGGAGCCATACACTGACAATGCAGATAAAACGAAACAGAATAGACTTTCATTAGTTGAGACCTGTCCATCTGAACAGTGAACGAGGCAGGGCATCTGTGGGGAAAAAATATTATCCTATAACTAGACACTATATCATAATACACATATATTAGGGGGACAAATGAGAATCTTACAGATTACCTTAATTTTGGCAATTTCAATTTATAGATTGCCAAGTCAATCATCACAATCTTTCAGATAGTTTTTTTAATGTGTGTAATGTAATATGTTATTTGTTATAGCTAACTGTATTTGCATGCCAGTGAAGAAACCAACAGGGGGCCACCGAATTTTGTCCTAAACAGGATTACCTGGCAGTTGGAGAGCATTTGGATTTTTTTTGTTTTCTTGTCAGTGTCTGGATCTGTTCTCAGTGTGGTTTTGTAAACCTTGTTTGTATTTGTATTCTTGGAAACAAAATACTAGGTTTCACAGAATCCTACAAGACAACTGTTTGTTTCTTGACAAGTTAAACAATGGGTGATAATATAGTGATCTTCTTGTCAGTTTCCAAACTTCAGCTTTAGCTTTTGAAGTCAGGAAAAACTGTATGAATAAGCAGCTGTTCTTTGAAAACCACCAAAAAAGAAAACTAATAAAAAGATAGGTGCTAGAGTGAGGCTTTCTAGAATATGCACTTTTTTTTTTCAATGCAGTTTAATTAATAAATAAATCAGGAGAATGAAATGCCTTTGAGGCAGAACCACTTTACAACAAAGAATTTGTTTTCAATGCAAGAGGTCTTATGACAGTTACATTGACTTTATGGTGCCTAATAATTGGGGTAGATTTAATTGTGCTTGGCAGCAGATGTTGGTGCAGCTGTAACAACTTCTGACTAATTTAAATGATCTGCTTGATTGGCTCTTGTACTTAATAAGAGCAGTTTAAAAAATTACACTTTTAAAAAGATCCTGTATTCTTATGATTAAGCTGTTTTCTAACTGGCAAATTTCTCTCTCAGCTTTTCTTATAAGCAGATTGTCAGTTGATATTCAAGAATATATCTGGATGCTACAGATGGTGTTTGGTAGCATAATTATTTATTGATCATCTCTAATATCATTTTAGATCAAAGAGATTAATGTGTTATATTTGCTAGATTCTGTGGTAGTTAAGATGTGTGTTCTGGTTTTAAACCTGATCTTCAAATAGCAAGATTAATAAAAGGGCCAGTATAAATTGCTTTGGAAAATAATTTCAAAATCCTGTGTTTGGAAAAGCTGGACATTTGCCATCAATGTCCCCATTATGAATTTGTTCTGTGCTAGTTTTGTTTACCAGAAATAAGCAGAGTGAGAAACATATGGCTGGAATCACTGCCAGGTGCTGGATGGGTTTGCAGTTAGGGCTGCTTGTGGACAGCCATATAATAGACAAGTGGCTGTGTGGTTACAGAACACGTGGGGATTATTGCATGTCGGGCACTTACCAGGGGGCTGGACATGGATGGATATATACTACATTTCATTTGGGGCTGGGTCTTAATTTGTGAGTTAAAATTAGTAACTATAGACCAAACTTATCAGGCCAGACAGACTGGCTAGAGGTTGGACCCAGGAGTGGGGATGGTAACTTCTGCACTGAATTGTTATGGAGAAAGGAAACACAATGCTCTCCTGTGCTCCTGTTTTCTCTAATTCTTCCTCATTTTTGTTTTTTTGTAATGCCTGTTGCTACAGCATTTAAATTCTTACCAGATGAAGATCACTATTGCATGGCAAGATCCACTAGTGGACTACATGGGAGTTCCTTTCCCTTCTGTTGTTGTTGTTAGCAGTCCTCTTTGGGTTATATACATCAACACAGTCTTTAAACAGATCATTCCAGTTGTAGCCATGCTTTCTCAAGGAGAATGGAGGGTCTTGCAAGATGGCCTAAAGATTACCATATTAAGGATTTATCTAATCCCATCTGGAGTTTCATTCTACTCCTTCTACCTCTCTTTTCTTGCCCCTGTTGTTTTTTATATATTGCATTGTTTCAGAGCAGCACAGTAGGACTGTGTGAAGCTTTGGTTGCTGATTTGATTTGGAGGAGATTCGGCCTGATTCGGCAGCCAAATCTCCAAATCAAATCAGGAGACCCATTAATCTCTCCGAATCGAATCAGAAGCTTCCTATTAGATTCGATTCAGAGAGATTTGATGATTCTGACATGGACATAGCTTTAAATGTGAACGCTGAGATGGTGGGGTGGATGGAGCATCCCATGGAAGTGTGGGGTGCGGGGGGGGGGTCCCCAGCGTGCTCAGCGATGGACCTGGAAGTGGACCAGAAGCACTTCTGGTCCACTTCCGGGTCTGCTGTGGAGCGCACGGGGGACCTTCTCCCCTGGCTTGGTGACTGGTGCTTCCTGGATATGTGGGGGCACCTGGGATCCCCCGCAGCAGATTGCCGAGCTGGGAGGGCATGCGGGGGGGGCCCACATGCTTGGTAGTGGACCAGAAGTACTGCCAGTCCACTTCTGGGTCCACTGCCGAGCACGCGGGGGGGCCCCCATGCTCCTGTGGGACGCTCCATCCACCCCACCATCTCAGCATTCATGAGCCATGCAAGGTATGTAGAAAAAGCACATAAAGCTGTGTCTGGCCGAATTGCCAATTCTCCGAATCAGAATTGAATCTTCAGATTCAGATTCAGCTGAATCAAATCAGGACAGTGATTCGAATCAACGAATCAAATCACTGTGTTCTAAATCAGCCTGCTTTGCACACCCCTACAGCACAGCTATCCTAGTTGGTCATGGGTGAAGATGCAGTCTGCAATGTAACTTAGTTTTGAGATGTTGATGGCTTTGTAGATCATAGCTGAGCCCCTTATATAGCAATAGAAACGAATAGGAAGCTAACAGGAGGGTCAGAGCCTAATGAGGTACCCTCATAACAGCATGTCCACTGGAGGAGTGGGGGTGCTGCATTCTTCATAAACTGATTTGAATTTATTTCACTGTTGGGGGCTGCCTAGGTAAAGTTATCCTCTTCTTGGGCTACATGGGACTTTTGCACTGCCTAATTTCAGATGGATGATACTGCCGTGTAGATGTATCCACTGAGTACTGTCCTGCCTGCTCTTTTTCTGATAGCCTCATATCATGGTGTATATAAACCAGATTTTCAAAAGAGTTTAGCATGGTTTTCTCAGGGCATGAGCAAACTCAGAGGTTGTTTACTGTTCATTTTCTAAAATAAATAATATGGTAATAGGCCAATGGTTTTAAAAGCATAAATAAATGTTTGGTTCAGGGCACCTTTTATGCCAGGTCTTAACACTTTTAGTGTTGGATGAGTTATGGACCAAAGTTATCATTTTCTACCTTAAGACTTCTTTAAAAAAAGACTACTGAGCTTGCCTGCACTCTGTTGGATAGTTCTTGTACATCATTATATAATGCCAACATAATTATATAATGCACTATATGCGGAATGATTTCATACATTTCCATTAACATATAAAGACTTGACTTCAGTTGTACCCATCATTCGGATTGGTACAATACGATTTCATTATATGGTTGTGCTAATAAAGTCCAACAAAAATAATTTAGACTCGTATTTATCCACGTGCATTAGGCACACAGATCCCTTGTTAAGGTTTGTTACGAACTTCATATATAATCCAATACAGAAAGGTAGGGTCATCCTTATCTAGGTAGCCTATCAGAACTAACCTCCAATTTAATGAATAGATACCATCTCTTCCCAATTCTCTGCTTACTCAAAGTTTGAGGAAACAGGTTTAGCAGTGTTTCCCAAAGGGGTCCCATGGCCAAAGAAGAGAAGAGAGCTCTAGAAGAAAGCCCTTTCTGTCTGAGCATCACATCTTGCCTGAGTAAGATGGTGTCCCAGGTGGGCAGGACCCAAAGCATTTGTTTGTTTTTATTGATCAAAACAATACCTAGAATTTTACCTGGAAATTGATACTGATAAATCTCGAAGGACTGACAAAAATGTGCTTCCTTCATAAACATATATAAGTGATTGAAAGTGTGCATCCTGCAGCTGCTAGAAGTTTAAAAAATGCTCTACCAGTATAGTCTTAAACAGCATATTAGCCCGCTTTGCACACCCCTACTGTAGTCAGGGTTGTATTAAGAAGTTATTGACCTAACGGCTTATATGATGTCCTTTTTATAATGTCAGTGGGAGATGGTTAAAAAACCTTCTTTATAGAAATATATATATTTAAAGGTCAATGAGATGACTAAAATGAGTAAAATGTGTATATTAATAACTGACAAGAGCAAGGAAACTTTAAAGTTGCCATTTTGTCCTTGAATGCCTATTGATAGAGTATTTCAGGGAATACAGTACAGTGAATAACCTTTCAACCTGCATGCAGCAGTATTAAATCTCAAGACACAGTTCAGTGAGTTTGAGATGAAGTAAGAGCTTGAATTCTGCTTTTTCTGTATTTTAATTGTTTGTATTATGTACTCAGTGGCTTTACAGAGTATCTGCAAGGACTGCTATAATAAACTGTAACTGATGTAATACAGAGATTTATATAAAGTACATTTATGTCTGTCTTTTAGTGTGCAAATTTAAAGCACATAAAAGGTGTGCAGTCAGGGCAACAAATAACTGCAAGTGGACTACGTTAGCCTCCATTGGGAAGGATATCATTGAGGATGAAGATGGTGTAAGTAATATTCAGCATTACACTACTTCCCAACAGTTAATGGTTTCTTCTTTTGGGTAGGGGAGGAGGGATATGCTCAGTCTGGAAAAGCTGTTGTGATTCTTTAAAGCTAAAGGCTGTTTAGTCACTGTGTTATAAAAGCTTAGCATAGTATCTGTAGCAAGAGAAATACTGCTCCGTTAGGAGACATGTTTAGCATCTGTGTACTCCTATAGATAGCTTGGGGGGATACTCAGGCCTTGAGACTGGCTCAGGGAATCTCTATCCCTCTTGTACCAAACTCTGTCATTTTCATTGGGAAGCTGTTATCGCCTCCTGCTTTGCTTTCTTGTAACTGACAACAGATCCCTCAATGCCTATTTGCAACTTATTGATCTACATATAACAGATTTATTGATATGTGTAAGTATTAACATTAGAAAATGAAAAAGCAAAACTTTTCAAAGTCTCATCCAGATAGAAGTATTAATATTATAGACACAGCTGTGCCTGCACTATTGGCATGGATTCATTATCCAGAAGGTTAGCATTAGAATTGGGGTGGGGGAAAAAAGACAATTTCATAGTTGTTTCTTAACTTTTGTCCAGAAAAATACATACCAAGATGTAGCAGAAAGAGTAAAGGGTTCAAAACTAGATTAGGGACCACTTTATAGTTTAATGATAGTTTTCATGTCATAAATATTTAACTTTATAACTATTTCTTTGCAGATAGCTATGCCTCACCAGTGGTTAGAGGGTAATTTACCTGTTAGTGCCAAATGTGCAGTCTGTGACAAGACCTGTGGCAGTGTTTTACGCCTACAAGATTGGAAGTGCCTTTGGTGTAAAGCTATGGTAGGTGCAGTTTGGCTTGTATAAATGTCTCAGACGGCAAGGCTGTTATTTATCTGTTACTCTGATTCATTTCACTATATGAATGAAAAATAATGGAAGGGGACCTGGCTGCTCAGGCAGATCTAACATTTATAATCTGTAATGTCTATGTAGTTGGTTTTAGCTGTTCTGGATTATGCTCGCAGATGCAGGTTTTCTTTAGTCATCAGTGGACATGTCTATACATGCAATTAATGTGACTGAATAAACTCCAGTACAATTTGAGCTAGAGTAAATTAATCCTGATGCCATTGTTTACATGTGCATTTAAGCCAGGGGCAGGCAATTATATCAGGTGGAGGGCCGCTTAATGAGGTTTGGTGAGCTTTTGAGGGCTGCATGGGTAGCCCTGCCCCTTGACAGTTGCCTCGCCCCTTCCCCCATCCCCTAGTTGTCATCTTGGGATTGGAAGGCCCGCCCCTAACCTTTGCCACTGACCTTTACATGAGAAATATTGATTAAGAACCCCTGACCTTTGCCATCAGAGGTCCCTCCCCTTGTCCCCCAGAAATACTCCCTTTGGGAGGGAAGGTTGCCATCTTAGAACCAAAAACACTGAACAAATCATATGCTAAAAGTCAAACAGCTACTATAACATATTTTAATTTTATGACAAAATTTTTTTTGTCATGATTTGTGTTTGCGTGGTGTATAGGGAGGTTATTGCATAATAACTCAAAAATAAATTCTTAGTCTTGTATGTTGTGTGGGGTGTATGTGGGAGGGTGGGTGTGTATGCTAGCGGGGTTTGTGGTTTCACCATGTGTGTGGGGGGCATAGGATATGTTGGGGGAGTATATATGTTGGGGGGTTGGGGGTAGGGTGTGGGTGTGTGGCGTTTGTGGGATGTGAGGGTGTGGGGAGGTCCCACATAATCCCCCCATGATGCAGTGGCAGCAGGTGGGAGTACTTGTGCCCAGCTGCGTGCAGCTCCAGCCAGTGCTGCACATCGTGGTGAGTGCAGCCCAGCCGGCCTGCCTCTATCACCGGTGTTCTTTGCCACACACACGCAGCCCCCGCACTCGCGTGCCACCGGGGGGAAGCTTCACGTCCTGGAGCTGGTAGAGCCATGGCTCCCTTCACTTCTGCTGGAGTCCTGCGATGTGCAGCACTGGCCAGAGCTGTGCCCTGTCAGACACAAGTACCCTGAGCATCCCCGCCTGCTGCTGCTGTGCCATGGGGGGAATGTGAGGGGTCCCCACACCTCCCAAATCCTCCCTCACACCCACACCTTGCCCACCCCTGAGCTCTGCACTACTGCCACCCCCCTGAGCGCAGGCTCCATACCGCCCCAGCCTGACTGTCCATGCTCCTGCCCAACTACAGCTCTCACCCCTGGCCCCCACTGCTTCCCTACCTGCTTCCCAGAGCGAGCAGGGCACTGGGGAAGCAGAGGATGTCTCCTGGTGGCTGCAGCAGTGGCAGCACCAGCCCCACCCAGAAACTGTGCTGGCAGGGCCAGGCTGGGCCCTTTCGCCCATAAGGGTGGGAACGAGGCCAATAGGGTATGTTGGCAGGGTGTGTATACATGGATTCCTCGCTCCCACCTTTGTGGGCGGAAGGGCTGAGTGGGGGTACAGTTAGTTGGTGGGTGCTGCGGGCTGGATGAAAGTGTCTGGTGGGCCAGATCTGAACCATGGGCCGTATTTTGCCCACCCCTGGTTTAAGCGTAGTAATTTACTCCACTGTTGGATTGTACCTGTGTCTGATGGGACTATTTTACGGTCCTGTAAATTAGTCTACACCTTCCTAATTTCTATGCACATGTAGATGGTGATTCTTTTCTGCACAGTAAATTAGTCTACTGTGCAGTGAAGTGCACGTGTAGATGCACCCATTGACTCTATTTCTGCCTTTTTAATAGCTTCCTAATAGAGCCCCTAATCCAAAACTACTTGAATTCAATAGGAATCTTTTTGTATTGTCTCTAGTAGCTGTTTAGGATCAGACTCTTAGTGTTCAGTGCTGTCTTTGAGCCCCTTTATGTTCTAACCAAACTTTTGTGCTTAATTTTTTTTCTTGGGATATCATGTACCTAGTTATAATTAGTATAAATCTGTATAATTTTCCTTTCCTAGTCTTTACTTCTCTTAGGCTAAAACAATTATATTTGTATTTGTATGGATCTATTACTCTCTTTCTTACCTCCATATGTTATAGATTTAAATTAACTGTCATTATCTTGTTGCTTGTCCTTTTACCATGTAATTGCAGTACTTCTTTTGAGGCTTTTATCTTTTGCTAGTCACCACCCTTTTGTCATTTGAAGCCTGGCTTAGGCTTTAGAAATAGTAAATCTGCAGAATTTTAAGCATCATAGTTCATTAATATTTTGCTAAAAAACTGATAATTAAACAGTATACAGGTTAGTGTGTATAACAGCATTCCAAGTTTCTTGCACATTACTTTTTCTTTATAGGTTACCTAGCTGCTGTATCAGTATCATCCTAATCAGATGATATATTGAAGAAATAATTATTTATTTGATACCTCTTTTTTAATTTTTTTAAAGGTTCACACTGCCTGTAGAGATCTTTATCCTCGTAAGTGTCCGCTTGGCCAATGTAAAGTATCCATCATACCTCCCACAGCTCTAAACAGCATAGACTCTGATGGTACGTAGCATTATGAGATTGTCAATGGTGACTCTACAATTATGGTATCATTGCGATTTCTATCTGAAGCAAAGATAAAATTCTTTTATTATACAGGTAAATTTAGTACAAAGGGCTTCAGAGGACAATAGAATTCCCTTCCTCCCCTCCCTTTTCCTCCCCTCCCCTCAAATAAATTTAAGAGCTTCCCTTTTGAATCTTTTCCCTTTTTTTCCTCTTATATTTTCCACCAATAAACAATTGGGGTTCTTTGCAAACTTCACCAGCATGCATTCTGATTATGCATGGGTCACTTTCATTATATACCAAGTGATTTCTCTAGTTCTAAATGAATGCTTTGTCTTATATAAAGACTAACTAACTAAATTACTCTGTTCTCTCCAAGTTGTGTTTTCTTGAGAAACACTAACAATTAACCACTAGACGTTACTGAAAATTGAAAGGTGTTTGCTTGTGGTTCAGGATGGAGATGAGTGACTGTTGGTCTTGGAAAGGATCTAGGTGAGCAAGGGAAAAGAAAACGTTGAATGAAGAGTAGCTGGAGTATTGAGAACTTAATTGCTTATTCTTTTGTTTTTTGTAATTTGTGTTGGTGGTATGTGAGCCCAACAATGTTAACTCAAAAGTTAGCAATATTTATTATCTGGAATTTATATAAATGACTGTATTCTACCGATGTTCACTTATTGTATGGACTCATTGTTTAATATAGTCATCTGGAGCTTGTATTGCTTGTATTTATTATTCAGACTAAGAAGGGTTGATTTAATTATAAATGGAATTTTATTGCTTACCAGTAAAAACAAAACAACACAAAAAAACCCTTTCTTTAAATTATGCATTAAGATAGAGTGGAATTGTATTAAAGTTTTTATTCTCATGATGTCAATTTTTCATTCAATAGAACTTTCAAGCTTTTTAGCTTTCTAATTGCTTTTAGACCATTAAAAGGACAGAATTACTTTATTTATGCCTGAAACTTATTTCAAAACCTTAAGCCTGATTTTAAATGATGCTGAGTATCCACAACTTTCATTGAGGTTTCAACGAGAGTGGCATTTTGAAAAATCAGTGTCCACTAGTACTGCTCATTTTAAAGTAGACTCACTTCAGTAGACTTTGAATTAGAAAGATGTGTTGTGTTATCTTTCTATTACAAACGATTGAGTTATTTCAGTTTGAAATAGTTCTCATGCAGTCTTAGCTGGGAGCTATTTAAGAATGTGATATCATTTATATATATGGAGGGTTTTTGATTTGCTAGGAATTCCAACTAAGTACAGTGGGATACAATGTAATAGAATTAAAAGGAAAAAGCCAAAAAAGATTTTAGTTACAGCTGAAAATATCATGTTGTGGTAATCTGTGATGAAAAACGTTGAAACTTTAAAACAACCTTTTTGTCATGGAAAATAATAAGGCTATTGTCTTCAACATTTTGCTAAATTTAGTTATTGAGAATACTGGAGAAAGAAGGTAGAGTAGGTAGAATAAAATATTCTTCTTCTTGCTAAATCTAATTTAAGTGCAGGTCATGTATTATTCATGGTAAAATGAATTCCATTCGTTTTTTCATTCTTTTCCCTCTTTTGTTCCGACAAATTCTTTTTGTGGTGTTCATGTTAGAAAGTTTTACATATTTCCTTCTTTCTAATTATGTTTACAGGTTTTTGGAAAGCTACCTGCCCACCATCCTGTGCCAGCCCTCTCTTAGTTTTTGTTAACTCAAAGAGTGGAGATAATCAGGGAGTAAAATTTCTTCGTCGATTCAAACAGTCACTAAATCCAGCTCAGGTGTTTGATTTAATGAATGGAGGACCTCATTTAGGGTAATGAATTGGGCAGTCTTTTCAGTATAGTATGGTACTGTGTTGTCCCCTATTTATTGTTTTTTATACAATTTTCCGATATGTATTTTGAACAGGCAAATAAGTGTGTGCGCGCGTATGTATGTACGTACATGTATATGTATGTACGTATGTGTATATGTATTATATATGTATGCTATAAAAATGGAATTAAACCTGAAGTAGTCTTCTAAATTTCAGTATCTATTCTGGGGGTTTATTGAACTGATTAAATATTTTTTAAAAACCCATATTATTCAGATTTTTCAGTAGCTCTATGCTGTTTAAGTTGAATAAAGCAGTTACACACGTGTAAGTGCCTTTTTATACTTAATGTGTAGTTGTAAAAACATTTTTTCTTTCCCTTTCAACATATTTTATAACAGAGAAGCCAAATATGGCTGATATCCTTCTGAATTTCTATACATAAAGACGTATCGAAATATAAAAATATTCTATAATATGGTTGGTCAGTATAGTAATACACATGTATTATACGTGTACATGTTGCATATTAAATTAATACGTTTACATATAAATCCACATTTTTTTATACAAATATATTCATTAATACATAATTTGTTTTTGGCTTTGTTTTTCTAACACTTATGCAAATAGAGAGATTTATTTGATGTCACTGAAACAAACAAAACATTTAATTAGCAGGCAATATCAGAGTGGCATGGAGTTAATAACAAAAATTCTGTGTTAAGGATTTAGTAATTATGAAAGCACTGAATGTAGTTTCAATTATGGCAGCCACCATTCCACTTGCCATATCTACCAATCAAGCTAACCCTTGCCTTGTAATATCCATGATATTTTAGTCCATGGTCTATCCTGATCAGAGATGTGCCAGTTTCTGGAAATTGCTCAGATTACAACTCATTTGCATTTGAAACCTAAACCATATCTTGAATTTAGGTCTCTACTGGTAAAAATGTAAAATGTACTAACCAATCACATTATTTGTTCTATCATTTTTAGAGTAGTTCCCAAAAATTCTAAAGGAATTTCAAGATATTATCAAATTATGTTAATGTATTTAGATCTCTATTTGTATAGAGGCATCACAGCAGTCCCAAAGACTATTTCAACAGCAGCATTCATGGATTCCAAAATTGTATGTTATAGTACACATGGAGAGGGAAGGAAAAATTGTGTAACTGTGCATTAACTGTGCATATATGTATAGTTTTTTATTTTAAAAAACATGCTTAGTATGACATGCCATCTCATTTTCCTTTCCTCTTAGTCTTGCCTCTCTGTTTGTACTCTCTCCTTTATCTTTCTTTTCTTTGTTACTGATGAGGGTACTTAATTGTGTACCTAGCCAGGACTCTGAGGACAGAAGAAAGAACTGGGGGTAGTGGAAGCCAGTAGCATACCTAAGAGGGCAACTGGGGCATCAGGTCTGAGTGCAGAATTGGTGTGGGGAGAGGGAAATTGGCATGCAAAAATAGTAGCCACTACTCTGCTTACCTGGCTGCCACTGCTAACCTGGCTGCTGTTGTCAGCAACACAGCCACTGATGCTTCCTTGTGCACTGTTACCCATGGTGCAGAAGTGCTCAGATACACATTGGGTAGAAACAAGACTACTTTTGAGGGCCCATTATAAAATATTTTGTTTGTCTTACGCTCCCATGATGAGCATGTGTGCAGGGTATATCTCAACTTTTTTTCAATATAAAAAAGTCACATGTTGGCAAAGGATGGGATTTCCCATACTTCCTGGAGTCATTACTTAAATTTTTCCTTGTGAAAACCTCATAGTAACAATGGTGCCTCAAACTTTTGATATGGATAAGATTTATTACAGCAGTTGGGTGCTCATAATTCATAGATTCATAGATGTTAGGGTCAGAAGGGACCTCAGTAGAAACCAGCATCTTAACAAGTGCCAATTAAAAAAAATCTTGAAAACATGATATATTAAAGGAAAATTTTCTGGGTAAAATGCTGTACATTGGTTACCAGAAATAGCAGAAGCAGTAGAATATTTGTAACAAGCTTCATATTGGTTATGTTTAATGTAGTAGTATAGTGCTTAACTACATACTTTGATTCTAATTGTTTATAACAGTAAGTCCCAATAAACAAGGAATTTTTCATTGGAATTCCTTCAGTGATTAGGAGCTCTAATCAGTTGCATTTTCCATATATACTTTACAGTTTAAGGCTGTTTCAGAAGTTTGACAACTTCCGGATCCTCGTATGCGGTGGAGATGGAAGCGTTGGTTGGGTTTTGTCGGAAATTGATAAACTCAGCTTGCACAAACAGGTAAGTGTGTGCATTTATTTTTGTCTGGGTTCTTTTGTCCTTCCATAAAATAGTAGATATAGGGCCAAATCCAGTAATCCTTACTGTGAGAGATGCCAGTATGTTGAATCTCCATATGTGAATCTAAAGTTACTTGCTGTTGAATTTGCTAATGCCAATGGTATATAGTTTTAATTTACGTTTACAATAGATTGTGTACCTGCCAGTTTGACAGAACTTTCCCACATTTATGGCTGGAGTCATTCATTTATGAATGACTTGCAGAAACATAACCCTTACTCAGAACTCCCGTTGAAAATGGTGGAAAATTTGGGTTGAAGAGGAGTTGCAGGATTTGACGTATAAGCTTTAGTTAGTAATCAACTCAGTAATTAACATATTGTGCTTGAAATTGTAAACATGTGTCTTGGTTCATGTTTTTACTTTTTTATGTTCAATAAATGATTTGCTATGTTGCTGTATTTCAGTGTCAGTTGGGAGTGTTACCTCTTGGTACTGGAAATGACCTTGCCCGGGTCCTTGGTTGGGGAGGGTCATGTGATGATGACACACAGCTTCCTCAAATTTTGGAGAAGTTGGAACGTGCCAGCACTAAAATGCTAGACAGGTAAGTAATACCAATAGTGTTAATGTGTTTTTAACCAATTAAAAGGCAGTTTGACTGGTGGGATCATTTATCAGTTTTGGTAGAAAAAGTTCTTAGCTTAAAAGTAGTTTTTCTCCTATGTTGTTTTGCACAGGAATTGCATGCCAGTGCTTTTGTTCACATAGCAAAGAGCCCCCGCAAGGTTCAGAGAAACTAGCTGTCTTGTTAATCTGGACACTTAATCCTTTTTTGTTGGGTTATACTTAAAGTTGTGCATGTACCTCCTGCCAAATTACATATTGTTCTTGTTTCTAGCTCTTAGACCCATTAAGGCAGTGACCCTGGCATAGGCAATGCATAGGAGAGGCATGGGGGGACATGTGCTCCCCCTGAGATTGGCAGCCACTGCTGCTGGCGGTGGCTTCTGTGGGCAGTCGCTGCTTGCCACCACCCTCCCTCCCCCTGCCGCCACCACCGGCTTCTGTGGGTGGTTGCTGCTCACCATCCTGCTCCTGCCACTGCTGGCTTCTGCGGGCAGTCACTGTTTGCCACCCTGATGCTTCTGATACTGCCGCCCACAAACCGTGGCTCCCCAGTCTCAGGAGGCACCAGCTGCCCAACTTTTGGCCACATTAAGGCAGTGGCCAGCATCCTTTTATAAGCTGTAGGCCAGAACAACCTAGCTGTGGTCCAGTGTGGATTGGGTGGCTTTGGTGGTTCATCAGTAGCATGGGGCTTTCCCCATGCCTATGCTGGGGCAGGCAGATGGGAGCTGCACCCATGTCACTGCTGCTTCTCCCTAGCTTTGGCATGGCCACAGCTTCCAGCTGGTAGCAGAGACTGCTCTGGGACCAGGTGTCTACAAACTGTCTGTGATGCCTTTGCTTTTCCCTGTTCCCCCTCTGCTTCCACCCTCCTGCCTCCCCCTCTCCCCGCCCTACCGCCCAGCTGTGGCACATGCACAACTGGAAGTTGCTTGACCTCATTGCAGCTCCCTACCAGCTCAAAGGTGTGTCCATGCCACAGCAGGGTAGGGAGGCAGGGGGGAGGAAGTGGCAGCAGTGTGAACTCAGTTTACAGACGCCTGGTTCTGGTGCAGCTCCCTGCGGACTGTATGCTGCAAAGCCCCTCACTGATGACATGGCGCCAGAACCACCTGGCCTGTGTCAGACCAGAGCTGGGAGAGTCAGAAGTAGCAGCAATGTGAGCATAGCTGGAGGCTAAAATCCTCTGAAAGACCCATTTTCATATATGTTTTCTTTTTGTGACACCTTTTTTTGACAGCTAGAAAAGACTTCTGTGATTTATCACAAACCTGAGATTTAGAACTTTTAAAAGCTGCTGTTTCTGTCTCCTGCAGGTGGAGTATTATGTCATATGAACTAAAATTACCTTCAAAGCCTTCTATTCTTCCAGTTACTCCAGAAGAGGAATCTGAGGAATGTCAGGTGAGGGATTTTTTTTGCATATTAGGTAACTTTTATCTTGGTTGAATACCTACAATGAAAAGATAATTAATATGGCTGTAAGAGGAATGGTTGCAGGAGACAAGAAGTGTGCTCAGCTGAATAGTAAGTCAGTTCATGCCATATGTGATTGGAATTTCTAGTTCAAGATTAAAAGCCTTCCAGTTATTTTGGCTAAAATGGATGAACAATCTTGTAGGACTACAATTAAGAAAGAGCTGTTTTCAAGAATGAAAATTGTTTTCTTATGAGTTCAAACTATTTACTGAATCACAATGAATTTGGAGAAAAATAAAAAGGAAGGGTATTGATGGGAGAAATGTCTTTTGCCCCATCCTCCTCAAAAAACAGCCTGGTTCTGATGAAAGTGCCTGCAATTTTTTTCTTTATCCCCTTTCTGTCCTTTTAAAAAAGTCCATATCATTGTTGGGCTAGCGGAATAACTTTAGCACAGCTTCTGAACAAGCTGCCTACACTGCAGGCATTTCTGGCCTCTCCGCTGATCAAGTTAATTGCCAGAAAAGTGCAGTTATGATGGGAAATGAAGTGTCATATTTGGCAAATGTTCATGCAGTTGTCCATCTTAGCTTGAGAATAAATCAGAAGCAGAAACTCATTAGCAGGTTTGTGATTAATGTAATGGCTTGGGCCAGTGATTCTCAACGAGGGTGTTCTGAGATCCTTTAAAGGGTGGCACAGGGTGCCACATAATGTTAGCACAGTTAAATGTAGAAATATGATTGATATCATAAACCAAGAGATTTCAAAAAGGAATCCATAGTGTTAAAAACCTTCTGCCCTTTTGTTCTCTTTTGAGTTCTTTGCAACAAAAGAATTGCTTTATTATTTTTCCATAGTAAAAAATGAGTAAAAATAAAGCCTGACATTTTCTGACGGATGCTTTGGAAAGTGAGTCTCTCTAGAGGGCCCTCAAGTCTAAAAAGTTTGAAAACCACTGGTTTAGGCGATGCTAAATCTCTGAGTGGTCAGAAAGTGATGAATTCTGGTGGATTTTTGGATGCAGGGTTCTACAGACTGAGGTACCAGAGATCTACTGTCTTTTTTTTTTTTGCATGCAGCTCTGTTCCCAGTGTGTGGGTGCCAGGAGTTTATGGCAGAGACTGTCACATAACTTCATAAGACTGTCAGTATCTTCATATTTTAGAGTAAAAAAAATGGAGGAAATATACAATTAGATCCAGATAGCTCTTCTGTAATACGCTATGTTTAGTTTAAGTAAAAAGAAAATAGTTTTATTTGAGAGTGGTTACTATAGGTCATTTTACTATCATCTATGAATTATAAAGGATTATTTTGTTAGGTATCGTGTGTTTTTCTCTGTATCCATCTTAACTGTTTCTGCAGCATTTATATTGTTTTTTAGTGAGTTTACAGTATTTCAGGGGGAAAAATCTGATCAGATGTGTTGTATCAAATTGCAGCACTGATTAGAAAAAGTTGGAAACTGACTCTTTCATTCTTATAATAGCTTCGGTCTCAGCGGACCATGGTGTAGCTCAAATATCAGGGTATTTGCTTTTCTAAGCTAGACTTTATGTTCATCTTAGAGCTCTAGGCTAGGGACAGACGTTGCACATCAGCTGGTTTAAGTGATCAGAAACTAATTTAAACCTGTAACAGAATAGAACCTCAGTGCACATAAACCAGTTTCAAAATGGACCAAGCTGGTTTAAGATAAATCTGGTTGAATGTAGTATCAGACTTAGTTGACTTGGGTCAAACTCGTTTATGGTACTTGTGTCCCAGAACCCTTCCTGGTTTAAGTTAAATCAGAGTCCCCCAGCATCCCAGCATGCTTCTTAGCCCTGGGCTGGGCTAGGCTGGGCTGTCTGCTCCAGAGAGCAGGGTTGGCTCTGCCCTTTTCCCTAGCCAGAGCTCCGGCTGGCTGAGAAGGAGGTGGAGACTGTAGGCAAAGCAATGTCTGCCCTGCCTCCCCTCCCCCCCCCAGCTGCTCAAGCAGGGATCCTCCATCTCCCACAGCATGGACTCCAGTGGTGCAGACCCCAGCCAGCATCTGGTCATGGTCACACCACCCTCATGTTAGCTAATGCTGAGAGGTGTCTATGTGTGTGTCTCCAATTTCACTGGAATAAAGGCAGACAGAACAGTGTTCACTTAGGGCTTTCTGGAGCTAATCAACAGGTCAGCTGGTAATGTCTCTCCATTCTTCCTTAAAAATGCTTTGCAAAAAGCTGTTTAAGAAGAGCTTGAATGCATGAGAGGGAGGCTTTGGTTTCTTGATTAGCTGTTAAGCTTTGTGTTCTGATAAGCTCCTTGCTGACTGCTGGCTTGCTGTCAGTATTCAAGAGGGGACAGGGAGAGGTGTGAGAAATGACCTGGTTTGCAATGAATGCAGTCTGTCAGTTTGCTGCAGACAGTATGAAGAAGCAGGAAGAGGAAGATTGAAAAGCTTAGTATCATCAACAGATGCATGTATTCCACACAAGCATTTCTCCCTCCCCTCACCCTGCCCTTTGACTCAGTGTGTTGGCTGGGGTCTGGCAACACTTTCCACCCCTTGAGCAGTAAGTGGGGGTGGGAAGGGGGGCTAAAGCCTAGCAAGGGCTGCTTCTCCCTCCCTCTCCCTCTCCAGGCACACCCCAGCTGGGGACTCTGCAGGCCAGGGTGGGGTTTTAAACGCCTTCCTAATAATAATGCCCTGCTGGGGCCTGGCCACACCCCCCACCTCAGCTCAGCATTATGGAAGGGAAGGGAGGGCTTGCTCTAGCACATCCTGGCTTCTAGCCTGAGCCACTGCAGGCATGTTGCCTGCATTTCCTGAATCAAAAGTGTGTGTCTGTCCACTTGCAAATTGGTTCAATCTTTGCAGGTTAGACTAACCTGCAGAGATTGAATCAATTCAGGCTCAAGCTTTTTGAATATCTGTCCCTAGCCCTTGAGTGAATGTGGATGTATACAGGAAAAGGAGAAAGATATCTACTCCTATTCCCTATCAAGAATGAAAACACGAGTAAGTAATGAATCAGTCTTTAAAAGAACAAATAAAACGGTCCTTTTAAACTTTAGAAGCACAGACTTCTATTTAACTTCAGTCTGTAAGTTTTTAATCAGAATTTCTTTTAAAAGCTAGGATTGTTTCTGAGGTTACAAACGGTGATCTTCTTTGTGGCAGGATCAGCTGTGAAAGGATGCATTCTGGCACAGCAAATCCAATGGATGTACAGAGACAGATGTTGCTTGCAGTATTGTCCTGCAGGATCAGGTCCCTGGTGCTCCCAAGGCTTCAAGGGCTGGATCCTGTGGGACGACAGCCATGGGTGCTTGGCCCTGACCCATGGCAAGGGTTTGAAAGTGCTGAGTAGAGAAGTGGATATTTGCAAACACAGGACTTCAGGGTGCCTGACCCCAATCTGTAAGGGAATTCCTGGGAGGGAACATCTGCAAGCATGAAGTGGAGAAGTAACTTCTCCACTCTGTGCCTGCAGGCATAAGGCTTCAGGGGCCCAAGCCTGCAGATCAGCAGCCCCAGGTACCTGACCCCAACCTAGGGCATGCGTCCAGAAGGTCTTTTTTTTTTTACTATGCTTGTGTAGCTGGTATAAGGACCATACACAATTGCAAGCAAATACTAAGGGAGTAGATGGGGATGCCTCAGAGCCTATGGTCTTCCTCATTCTCTACTTGCAGATGCATACCCTGGTTCAGGCCAGGCACCTGGGGCTTTTGTCCTGCATGATTGGGCCCCTGCAGCCCCTAGAGCTATACCTGGGGAGGCCGGAGTAGGGGTTGCCTCAGCTGCTCATGCTCTCATGCCATAAGCAAATAGACATTCTCCATGAAAAGGGCATGAATCACCATGCCCAGAATTTTGGACATTTGTGGTGTGGTGGGGCATGAATATCTGTTGACTCCAGTTTTGTGCTGCCAAAAACTTTTATGGCAGCACAAGGGCAACGTCTGTTTGCAGCCCATCACAAGGTCAAGTGTGAAAACGTGTTCCGTAAGGCATCCCCGTCTACTCCCTGAGCATTTGTCTGCAATTCTGTATGGTCCTTATACCACCTGCATGAATATAGGAAAGAAGAAATCCCCATATCTGTCTGCTTGTGTTTATGTAATGGCAAAGCAGAACCTGTCTCTAATGGGTTTTTCAGGTTTAGATTTCGATAGTATTATACCAGCTTATTAACTTCACAATAAGGTATTATTCAGTATTAGAGGGGATTTCACAATATAGTCTGTAAACTGTTACTATACATAAATAAATGGCTTAGTTTCATGGTAACTTCATTTTTTGCAGGGGAAGGAGGAGGGAAATTTTCTAGATAATTATCTAGAAAATTGTTGATGTTAATGTCAGCTATCCAGGGTGACCAAAAGAAGGAAAACGAGTTGTTAATTGTATCTTTAACCCAGAAATATATTTTGCCAGTTTCCATCTAGAACAAAAGAGCATGCTAGTTCAAGGTTTTAACTGTTACTGTGACTTTTTGGATGTTAAAAATGCAGTTAAAGGCCACATATAACTGTTCTGTCCTAGGTGTAGATCTAAAACCTTGGAAAAAATCCTACTTCTCTATTAATGTAATTATTGCTTTGTTTTAAACACTAACAAAGGTTGACGTGAAGACTCATGTTTGCTTTATTTTCAGATATCTGCCTATGAGGATTCAGTAGCTGCTCATCTTGCAAAAATCCTCAATTCTGATCAACACTCAGTTGTCATATCATCTGCCAAGTGAGTCGATGGCTTTAATGTATGCAAGATAAGTCTATGTAACATCATCATATAGGGCTATAAAATAAACTCTCCTGTAAGCTTGAGTTCCCTCTGTCTGTAGCTCAGCTGCCTTGAGCTAACCCAGTCCTGATTTTATAAATTGTGAAGTGCAGTGGATAAAGTTCTATAGCTATTTGGTTTTGTGCCATTATATTGTATGGCTTCATTTTTAACAAGTCAAGTTCAGCAACATATTTAAAAAATCTTGTAAAGCAAAATAATTGTTTAAGTAAAAAGATATATCATTAGATTAAAAATAGATTAAAGTATTAAAACTCAGTGCTCCGAGTTTAAATTAAAATAATATTAATACTATGTAGAAATGATTTGGTTCCCTTAGAACATCTTTTGCTCATATGCAGTCTCTGATAAGCATGCACAGTGGCAAAATAGGAGTCTCCAGTATGGTAGCTCATTAAAATAGGAGTCAAACCATAGGATTTTTATACCAAATTTAAATGCCTCAGATCAGAAAGGTTCCTCTCCCTAGAAATCTCAAGTGCCACATAAAGCTGTAACATGTTGTGCTTCTAGCTGAGCGAAAAGGATTTTTTTAATATTTGACACTGGCCAACAGACTGATGATAGCTCCAAGATGGTATGCAGTTGTCATTACTGCTCTTAACCCTTTATAGAACAGGATAATACAATGCAATTGAAATACAATTTACCCACTTTGCATGTTAATTTTAATCTGCACCAAATCATCATAACTCCAGATTCAAAGTGTTTAGAACACCTTTTTGAGGGAACATAATTTAAAACTAAACAACATGTAGTTGTTTAGTAACAGTAGTTAATTCAAGTCCCCACAACAAATTGGTTGTACTTCTGCAGCATATACATCTGTAGCCAAATTCTGGTCTCAATTGCACTAATAAAAGCCCATTGAACCCACTGTCATTTGCACAAGTATTTCTCAGGGTACAATGTGACTCGGCAGCCAGTCATGCATTGAAAACTGTTTTGGATAGTTCTTTCCACCCACAAAGATGCTCAAGGACAGATATCATTGGGGTTTCAGACAGGTGCAAGGGTTCTTAAACAAGTGGTGTAACTTGTTAGACTGCTATCTAAGCCAACTAAGGGGAACACAAGCTTGCTAGCAACTCTGATAAAGCCAGTGATACTGATGAATATGTGTGTATATGTTTCCAAAAAAGGAAATAAACAAAAAGGTCCTATTAATTTCAGCTCGGATAAAAGTAGGAGAGAGGGGTAGGGAAACAATGTATACAAAGATGTTGAATCAATATGGGAAAAGTGTTCTTAAGTTTAGCAGCAGATTTAACAAGCCATGGTGAGCTAAAAATATAGAATATCTACTTTTAGAAATGATTTGATAATGTCCACTTTACAACCCAAATGGTCTACATTAGTATGCATTGTGAACTAATGGTCGTAATGGTATTATTCATTTTTCTCTTTCTGCCTGTAAAGTGTTTGTTTCTAAAGCTTTTGGTATAGCAGGTTTTTATCTTATTCTTCTGAGAAATGACATATGGGAGCATGATTTAAGCTTGGTGGAATTTTAGTAAGAAAACAACACAAAGTTAATACATCCAGTAATTAATAGTAAACTTGCATCCAGTTAATTTCACTTTATTTTTATTTAATTTCACTTTTATTTTCCATCCTCCCCTCTTTTTTTTTATGCAAAGGGTATTATGTGAAACTGTAAAGGACTTTGTTGCCAAAATAGGGAAGACTTATGAAAAAGCTATGGAAAATGCAGATGAAGCTGATTCCATGACCCTTAAAGTAAGAATGAAGTTTTTTGTAACATTTTTTCCCAATTATTTGTTAGGCTTTTGTAAATGTTTTAAATGTTATAGTTCAGAGGGATCACATGTTCTTCTCCCAAAGTAATTCAGGAAGCTCTGTTCCGTTCCTCCTGAGGTGAGTGGCTACAATATGCTTTTCTTTTCAGTAGGGAGACCAGTTATTTCAGCAGAACTTTAAATTAAAGAATACCCTATTAAATTTGCCAGTAATTACATTATTTTTGCCCTGGTTGCACAAAACAAAAATAAGACAATGGGAACTTGGCAATGTTGAAAAACTTATTTATTTTTCCATTAGTTGATGACCTAGGCATAGCTTTTACACTGGAGAAAACAGATGAAGCATACAGTTGTATCCACAAAATAAATAGAAATATGCTGCTTGAGAAATTCAGACCTCTTTAAAAGGGATTATGTTAAATGCAGTGAAACAATAGGATTAGAAAATGGGAGAACCCAGCTGGAAGTAGGGGCTCCGGTTTTACATATATAGTAAACTAGGCTTCAAATGGCAGAGCCTTTTTAATAGATTCATAGATTGTAGAGTTGGAAGGGACCACAATGGATCATCGTGTCTGACCCCCTGCCCCTGGCAGGAAAGAGGACCAAGGTCAGATGACCCCAGCCAGGTGACTATCTAGCCTCTTCTTGAAGACCTCCAAGCTAGGTGATAGCACCACCTCTCTTGGAAGCCCATTCCAGATCCTGGCCACCCTTACTGTGAAAAATTTCTTCCTAATATCTAACCTAAATCCACTCTCAACTAGTTTATACCCATTATTCCTAGTCACTCCCTGGGACGCCTTAGTAAACAGCGCTTCCCCTATTCCCCATTGACCTCCTCTAATAAATTTATAGGCGGCCACAAGATCTCCCCTCAGCCGTCTCTTGTGTGAAGAGACTGAAGAGATTCAGCTCTCTCAACCTCCCCCCCGTAGGGTCTATCACGAAGGCCACTAATCATGCGAGTGACCCTCCTCTGGACCCTCTCGAGATTCCCCGCGTGCCTCTTGAAGTGTGGCGCCCAAAACTGGACACAGTACTCCAACTGCAGCCTGACCGGTGCCACATAGAGGGGGAGCATCACCTCCTTTGATCTATTAGTCATGCACCTGCTAATGCATGACAAGGTGCAATTGGCCTTGTTGCTGGCCTTGTTACACTGCCGGCTCATGTTCATCTTGGAGTCAGTTATAACTCCCAAGATCCCTCTCTGCCTCTGAGCTGCTGAGAAGGACACTCCCCAACCTATAGGTGTGCTGGGGGTTCCTCCTTCCCATGTGGAGTACCTTACATTTATCTTTATTAAATTGCATCCCATTTCTCTCTGCCCATTGATCCAACCTGTCCAGGTTGGCCTGAATCTGCTCCCTGCCCTCCGGTGTACTAACTTTGTCCCATAACTTGGTATCATCAGCGAACTTGGAGAGGGTGCTCTCCACGCCCTCGTCCAAATCGCTGATGAAGATATTAAATAATATCAGTCCGAGGACCGAACCCTGTGGGACCCCACCTTGTCCTAGTGGAAAAGGGGAGGGGGAAAAGAAATTTTAAAATTCTTGTTTCAAAGAAAAAGGTACACAAGGATTTAAAAGAACACTTAGTCTGTTGACCTCAGTACTGTACTGAAGTTACTTTGTGGTATACTCCATTATATTATTGACTGATACATCAAAAACAATCATCTTTTTTTTCCAGTGGAACTATGGTCTCAATTGTATAGATGGGCTTTTTAAGTGTTCAGGAATGACCTAGTTCTGTTCCCCTTGACTTCCATGGAGGCAGCCACACCTGTGCCGAGCACTTTAAAAAATCCCACTTGTGATCTTTAAATGCAAGTTTGTATGGCAATTATATTGTCCAACAAATAGTTAATTAGATGTAGTTCAATGCTAGGCTTTAAGATCCAGCACCAGAATCTTGTAGTTGACTTTGGTAAATATAGTCTCCTCAATGATTTTTTTTTTTAACTCATTCCTCTGTGTGTGTGTGTGTGTGTGCGTGTGTAACTTTGCCAGTGTTCAGAATTAAATGAGAAGCTAGACCTGTTGCTCCAGGCTCTTCACACTGAATCCCAGGCCACTCCCATGCTGCCACGTATCACTCCCCCCATTGTGGAAGAAGAAGTGGAAGAGTATTCAAGTGAAGAATCCTTATCTGAAAGCAAGGAGAGTGAAGGAAAGTCTTCTACCCAGAAAATCTTCAAACCAAGAGAACAGTTAATGCTGCGGGCAAACAGCTTAAAGAAGGCTGTAAGGCAGATCATTGAACAGGCAGAAAAAGGTGCGTCAGCAAGGCTTTGCTTGTTAATCACATGGGGAATCTTTTTTTGCCCTAGCATAAAATTCCATTGTGAAAACTGGATTTCCATATTTTCACACAAGTTGAATAGATAGATTATTACACGAACAGACAGATTTAGAAATGTTGTTTTGGGGTTGGGGTGGAGGCAGAGGTGGGGTGGTCACTGTAGGTCCCAGAGCACTTTGGCCATCCAGGCCTTGTGTCACAGCACAGCGCTCTGACCCCTCCATGCCTCAGCCGCTTTCCCTA